GGCTCTGGTACAAGGAGGGGTGAGGGGCAAGAAATGGCACAAAACGACTTTTAAGAGCTAATGCTGACCTAGGGAACAACCTTCACTCCCTCCCAGTCTCTGAAAGGATCCCCTCATGGTCTGAACGAAGCTGTAACCCACAGCTTGTGTGCTCTCTATTCTCCACCGAGTTGGGAGACACAGCAGTCCTTGAGTGCCTGAACCCACCCCTTAAAATGCTGGTTTAACTCAATGGTCAATTCTTAAGTGAGAGGGAGACATACCTTTTTTGGCTCCAGACATAGATTTCTGTACACTATTATTAGAGCCATTACTGTAACTTAAATACCATCACCATGCCTGTTTTTTATCCCCATATGCCTCTGTGACAAGATGCAAGGAAATAATGCTATCTGAAAATATAGGCTAAGGTTAATTTCTAAAGATGGTCATTTTTACTTCCTACACTGGGCTGAAAGAATGTGAAGGATGAGGATTGCTCTGAGTGCATAATGTGTCTTCCATCTGCTGCTGCAACTTCGGCTTAAAAAAGACATTCAACAGTTGGCGAGTTTTCTGTATAATGTCTTTGGTGGTTCATTGACATGAATTATAGTGTTTTTCCTCTCTTGCACAAGGAAACATGTTCCTGCTGAAACTGCACATACCAAATTGGGAAACTTGGAGTTTGAGGATTAGCAGCAGGTCAACACTGACCTTCCAAGAAAGTTGGGATAGGGGAAATAAACGTCTGAAGATATTGTGTAATACTAAACTAAACTGGTGTTAGCTTTCACATCTAATTCAGTTAAGTGGGAAGATCATGAATTGGTGTATTACTCTATGTTAAATTACAACAAATTAACAGATTTAATCACAGGCATAAAATGTCATTTAAAGCAGGTAAGGAGATAAGGCTGAAAACTAGTTCTGAGGGTTTTAGGCGACAGCAGACTGACATAGTTGTGGAAACAAATGCTGCTCACCAGATTTCTTTTTTTTCTTTTGGTGTTTTTTTATGGAAGAACTTGCTTATTTAAGCAAACAGGAAACACAAAACACATTTGCTATTTATAGTATTAAAACTGGAAAACTCCAAAGACAGAGAAAAAGCACAGGAGATAGTTTTCAGTGAAAGATTTTACAGCATTACGAAACAAAGAAAAGTGGCCCTGAACTGTAGACTAGATGATGTCCTATATTAACTAATAATGACTTTCAGAACTGATCAGCTCAGTGACAAATGCTAAGAGAATTAGTTAAACAAAAAGTGATGAAAAGAAAAAAGTCTAAATGCGGAGATTACAGTTGTTTTTCTGAAGACAAATGGCCATGGTTGCTATACTTTGGGTTAGTAAAATCATACTTCAAAATCTGTTTTACTAAAGAGGAAGGATATGATTTCTCTTTTAGCACATAAACACAGTGTAGTGAAATTGTATAGTGACATTGTAAAGATGGTACAGAAAGCTGCATCTGGTCAGACAGAAAAACACACAAACTTGGAAAAGTGAATTTGTAGAAAATGAAATGGCTGGTAATGGACAGATGTAAGGTGAATTATTAATGTGAACCTGGAGGGTTGGCCTTGTATAATTTTGCAGATTGCTCTCTGTTTCTTGAGTCAACTCCAGATAAAGGAGATTTAGCTGATCTGAACACTGAGTCCCTGCTGAGGTTTACCCTGAGATCAGCTTACTTCCAGCCTAAAGACAGGAAGGACAGACAGTATTGTATTAATACATTTTTTCCATGTGAAGGTTGAGCAGACATCCTGCCCATCTATCATGCCACGCCGAGGGCCAGACCTGTTTAATCTGTGTGTTCAGCCTTTGTGGGCTTTCAGTGAAGCCATCAAACATCACCTGCAGGAATACCCCTGTCACTTTCCAGTCTCTCTGTGAAGCTTTGTCAAACTTTGAATCATTCTTGCCAACAAGTGACTTTCGGAAAAAAATGTCTTGTCTTGTAAGTGAAAGTTAAGGTTTTGTCTGAAATTCCTCTAACCCCGCCCTGCCTATATAAGCCCGGTGAAGCAGCAGAGACACAAAACATACTGTACATAGGTGGTGCCAGGGGGTCTTTGGGGAGATGGAGGGATGCTGTAAGTCGATCTTTTCACAGCAGACAGACATTCCTGGAGTTCATGTGGCAAACCGTAATTCACAAATGCTAATCTACCCTTAGAAGAGAGACGTTAAAAGCTGATGGTATCCACATAGAGAAATTGTCAACACAGAACTGAGGGCAACACGCTTAGCACAATAATTATGATATTTCCAGAAGCGTCTGCAAATTATTTTTCCTTTCCTACGTCGCCCTTTAAAAGGCAAGGTTTAAACCGCTGAATACAGAGCAACTGAACTGACCAACAAGCCTGCTAGCTTAGCTTTGGTTAACATCTCTCCAATATAGTGTAAACTGAGGAGGCATCCTGGAGGATCCATTAAGCCATTATAATGAACCAACCTCTCTGAACCACTAACTTTGGCAGGAAATTGCTTTTTCCATTTTCTCTCCGAGTTTCTCCCTGCACTATTCTCTTCTCCTGAGCCAGCATCTCCCCCTGGCAAACTCTCATAAAAAAGACAAATAAAATAGCTGCACAAAGAGTGAGGACAAAAAATTATTAAACTTTAACAATCATTTTCTAAGAAAGCTTTTGTTTTCCTGCATCTGTGTTAGTAAATAGTATTATTCAAGAGAACTGAATCAGTGGGCCACCTTGCTGATTTACCACACACTGCACCCACTTCAAACACCCCAAAAAACAGCCGACAGTATAAACTACTGTACCAACTGAAACAACGACCACAACACAAACTATATCATCAAGCCAGGGCGACGGAAAATACTTGCTCGGCTTGGGATAGCAGGTTGGAAAAGTGGAGAAAGCGGAGCTCACTTATAGGGCTGACCTAGATTCAGTGCCCCGTCAGAGGCATACATTATCTAATCCAAGGTAAGGGAAAGTCGATAACTGCACTGGGCAGGAGTCACAGCCAATGTCTATGGTGCAGTAGCTTTAACAGCAGGACTTTGGTTGACGTTACTGGGTGAATGGCAGAAACAATACAAAGCTGCACTTTTCCATTTCTAGATCTGGCTCTATTATAAGCTCATGCTGTTGCACCTTTAGATGCTGATATAAAATTAGATGGCAAAGTTTTCTACTCACTGCATCCAAGACTCTACAGGGGGACTCATGCGGCTTTAAATCTGCCCAGATTGAAAATCCATACAGCCCTTTTATCATAACAAATACACCAGACACTTTTAGTACCTCTAACTCAGCAAATTCACTACATAGAGCTGTAATACACAGATCAATCTGTCAGAAGCTATTAAAGGGTTTGTACTTATACTGCAAGGGAATGGATGCTAAATCAAATGAACTCTGAAATCTTCTTAGCACACACCTGGTCTTGTTAGTGCTGGCAGAGGGACACAGAGTGATGTCACCCAGCCAAATGGAGCAGAGTTAGCCAGCTTCCACTGGAAAGGTGTTGATATTTCAGCCTAAACGCTAGCAGTGCTGCTGGAAACAGTCTCCACAGCAAATTGTAAGGAACGCGGGTTATACTTACTTTTGTGATCTCTGTGGAAGTGTCAGTGTATAATAAAACTGTCAAATAGCCTTCAGATGTGTTTTCAAAAGCCTGCCGTCTACTATTTTGCTTTCTAGAAACTCATAAGAAATCCATCTAACCAGAGATGAATGAATGAGCTGAAGTGAAAGTGGCAGCAAAATATAGCCTGCTTCAGAGATGAGAGGCAAGCAAAGCAATAATAACATGAAACAAAGTTAGAGCAATAACACGGAAACCTGGAAATCATAAATCTGCAATGAGATGTGCATGAGTTTCACATGGATCAACAGTGCACAGTGGTCAGCTGAAAGACAAAAGTGAAGGGGCCCATAATAAAAACAGGACCATGCACTTGAAATTCATGGAGAAAAGCACTCATATAAGGCCCCCAATAAAAGGACTTCAAGGTGTTGGAATATCCGCCTCACTGTGGCTCCCCATTGGGTTGAAATCCTACCGGAGCAGAGAATGAAAACAAATACATGAACCCAAAGGCAGGACACATGACACTTCAAAGTGATCCTACTCTGTGGACCTTTTTCCTTAAGGCCACTGTGGCAATCACACCCACAGTGGAACCTAAATCCAGTTGCCTTCCCTTCACTATTTCCTCCTCCATCTCTCTTTTGCCATCCTCCCGCTGAAGAACACATGAGTCTGATTACTGTTTTACTGTCTCAGCACACCATTAAAGCTGGACGTCAGACCCTGTTACCAGGTTTATTTCTCTCCAGTCCCTCCTCTGCTTCATGTGGCAAATTCAGACACGTGCTTAGACCTGGCATCGTTGATATTTTAGCATATTTAGGACACATGTTTAAATTTGTGATATTATTTGTAATCCATTTCATATGTATAAATTATATACTTCATTAGGTCCTACTGTCTTCTTCCACCTACGATAAAACAGTCCTGGGAGTACTACAGAATAATCACTGACTAACGTGAGACTGTGCTTTATGTTGGCATTAAAGATTCAGTATTGTCAAACTAAATTACATATACCCTAAATTTGTAATCTTGGCCCTGTCTGCTAGCTCTTCCAAGAGGTTAAACAGCTGACTAAGGACTCTCTGCAGCTGGCATTTGTAAATCCAGCATGTCTTGCTGGCTTTCCATTAAAGTGAGGTGGAATAATTAATATGAGTCTGGAAGACATTCCTCTTGCTAGAGGCAACATTCTGGCCCTCAGCCTAAACCAACAGTGGGAAAAAACAGGGCTGACTGCAGGCCAAAGCGAGCCTCCAGATGGGGGCTGAGCAACAGCTAGCAGGCTTCGGACAAAGAAGGTGAAAGAGTCGAGATACAGAAAAGGGCAGAGTGTTCGAGGAACTATATGACTGAATACTGAATGTTTGTGTTTTACATACACATAGCATGCGTGCTGTTTTTCCTGCTCAATACTGTTGTGCATCTGTTTTGATTACTCACCACTCTCACTCTTTTCAATGACGTCGACCACCTCGCCTGCTTGAAGACTGATTTCTGCAGGCTCTTGTTTTTCGTAATTGGCCACCACCACATACTGTTCCAGAAGCATGGGGTCCGAAGCATCCAGACCTGGGGTTGATGGAAAAAAACATGCTGTCAGCCAGCTGCCAGCCATAGGTCCACGAGAACGACTGTTGGGCACTCGTTGTGCCATAGGCCACTTTGTTTGTAGAGCTTAGCCAATCACAATATTCACGAGGTTCAGTGCATCTTCCCCAAAGTCTAGCCATAGAGCTGCATGTCCCTCCAGCCCAACATCAGGGGCAAAGGAGACAGTCTAGAAAAAAAGAACCTCCCACCAAGAAGTAAAGGATCAGACATTCAAGTGCAGAAAATCCATTCTGTTTTACTAAAGGGACTTTATCCGTTTTCTCCAACAAAGCTGACTCCCAGTCAGTAGATACACATAGACACATGAACACAGTGGAAAGGCTCGCAACAACGGGAAAGCAAAAGGAGGTGTAGAAGTGACAGAAAAGTGAGCTAAAGCCAGCTGAGGACAGGACAGTAGAGTGGGAGAAAGAAATGGTTTCCCTTGGAAAATAAACCATCTGCTAAAAAGCCTCCTTCTCTTCAGTTGGGGCTGGAACTGGGGGAAGAGTAGGGGGGTTGTGTACGCCAATCATAAGAGTCGGCATAAGGGGCCTTAAATAGAACCAGATGAAGGGGCTGGAGCTGTGCTCAGAGGGATGGCCCCCTGTCGCCTTGAAACACTAGAGCTCTGACTACAGCGTGCAACCCAGCCAATGGAAATCTTCCTCTGTGTACTTAACTGAGTTAACCATATAAGCGCCAGCAGTGACTTAGATTTGTTGATTTGGTTTGCACTCGTTTCCTAACTGGGTCAACATCTCACCAGATTTTGGTTCATTAACTAACACCAGCACAGCTTTCTCAAGTAGCATACATGTGTTTTCATTCGTGAAGGTATTTAAAGAAGGCATCGTACATAACCGACAACCCGCAACATTTTTTGGTTCCCGCTTTACATAACTGAGTCCGGCTGAAGCCTTAATCGGGAACAATCTCTGAAACAAGCATCCCTGAATGGACTAAAGCAGATCTAACAAGTGTCAGCTGGAATCTAGTCACAGGCCAGCGACACTGAGCTCAAACATTAACAAGACCTTCTGTTGATCACCGAGTTCAAAGCTGTGTGGACACAGGAGGAGCTTCTGTGTGCACACTAGATTATATCTGTTTACTCTATTACTGCAGTTGCAACAGATGTTTACTTTAATGGTGGTTTAATATCAGCAAAATACCAACAAACTTCCTGGAGATCCTCATCTCTTCGTGGGCACACTGGTCCAACTTCTAACTAACTGCCATCAGTAGGGTCAGTTTAACAGAAACAGCCAAGCACATACAAATAAAAGCCTTTTTATGGGGTAATCATAGTTCCTGGAAAGAGCAACTCGGTTTGTATCCTGATGATGGAAAATAAGAAAAGTTCAGTGTGATAAATGGAAGATTTGAGCCTTAGATAAGGAATGATTGAGAAGGTTCGGATTAAGCTGCCATTTCTCTAAAGAGCTCACCTGGCTACAGTCCCGCAGACTAGAGATTAACATTTCTCTAAATCTGGATAATATTTCACATTCAATTCAGGCACTGCACTTGAAATGTCAAGGAGCTAATAACTCACATAGATGAACTCAGCACCATTAGCATCTCACATGATGAAACTGCCAAAGAGTCTGACACTGGATTACTGTGGTCGGGCTGCGGTTTATGAAGCTTCACGTTATTTATGCAAGATGTTTTGTCAGACCACAAAATTGGGTGCAGAAACAATGGAAGGAATATTATATAAATATTGCCTTTTTAGTCTTCACTGTATAATATGACAGTAGTTACTTTGGTACAGCAGGCAGAGTTATTTATTTTGACACTGTTAATAGAAATGTGTTGTTAAACAGTTTGTTTTAACTCACAGGTCAATTAACTCTCAATGAGGATATGTGAGCAATTACTGCGTACTGGGTAAGTGAGTAATTTCAAGTCTATAATTTCGCCTGTATTTATGGAATATCTCCAACTATATATGTTTTCTATCATGTTTCATATCTGTCAAATATCACAAATTTTGTAGACTGGAGAAAATGTTAAAACATGAGGACAATTTAAATGTTTCCAGGCATCATCCCTGTGCTCGGTCTGTCCAGATTTTAAAATGTATTAGCATGCATAACTTTTACCAAGTGTAATTTAAAATAGCTTTAATAAACAGCAATGCCATAGACTCATTCTGTTGATTTAGCTACTCAATGCTGGTTGTGAAATAAAACACTGACCTCTGTGGAACCCGCCTCCAAATATCTTCAAACTTGGACATTGTTTTATCAAAGAAAAAGAAAACAGAGGGCTCATTTGTCAACAATGCATTTTCAAGACAGATGAAAATAATACTCAGGTCATGAGCTCATAAAACTCTGTGTCAAAAGACGTAAATGTAACCTTCTTTAGCACACAATTAGCAGCTGCTGCGAGAAAACCGTAAATCTGTGACCTGAGTGACTAAAGACTCTGTCAGTAAAGTCAACAGGCCTGAAAAACAAAAGCTAATATTTCATCCTCTTTCAGGAAATGAAATGTTTTGCAACAGCAGGAAGACAGAGCAAGAAGAACATGTGTGTGGGGGGGAAAAAGCAGACTTGAACAGGATAAGCCTAATTTCGAAACAGTGTACGAAATGTGAATCATACAAACTGTGTACAAAACAGTGTTTCAGACAACACAGTGAAACATAGTGATCATAACAACTAAAATATATACATAGTATATGCAAAAGAAAGGCAGCTGCAGAGTGTATGAACACTACTCACAACAAACACTGCTGAAAAAGAAAATATATTTAAATGTTTTAATCAATAGCTAAAAGTAATCCTGCCCCTGTAGTATCTGTAATATCCTGAGAGCTCACCTGATCAGGTTTATATCTTTGTGAATGTGTATGTATAAGTGGAGGAAACCAGAAAGAACAAACTTGTTCCTCTAAACAAAAAGCATAACCAACCCCAGAACCAACATACATTGCAGCATGGCTAACTATTTTTCATTAGGCTGAACTATTTTGCACAATAAATAGGCTACATTTAAAAAGTATAATTTCACTGTATTTATTTTAGTCTTTTAAAATGTGTGTCTACGTGCAGAAACATTATCTAACACGTTATGCATGTTATGCCATATTAACTTGTTAAATGATTGTCACATTACTGTTAAGTTGCCCAGAATGTGCTTTATTTTCTGTTGTGTTAAATTAGAAGTGGCACTGTGAGTGAACTTAATTGATTGGTTAGTGCGTCAGAAGAGCTACAAGTGTGAAAACTGTCTTGTTACCATAGACAGTACAAAACATGGACGTAGCATCCAGATCAGAAAAATGAAGCTAGCTTGAAGTTTGTTAAATCCACCTTCTATCTGAAAGCCACCAGATGGCGATAGTTGTAGTTGAAAAAAAGGATTTCTGGTATTATATAAGTTTATGAAAAAAACAGTTGGCTCGACCTCTGAACAGGTTTTATTTTTATGGGCGAGCCATCATTTACAAAATAAGTCTATTTTGTAAACTTGGTTCATATAGTGTTTTAAAACTGAGGATTGTGTCTGGTACAGTGTGCACACTGTGCGATTTCCCTGTCAGACCTACTGCTGCTCGTCACAACCGGAAACGTCAATCTTGAGGCATCTTTTATGCTGTAAATGCTTTTTACATTAGGTCAAGTTTGACATAAAATCGTTCTTTTACTGAATATTTTTAAGTTACATCAGTTTAATTCCAAGGAAAGGGAGGCAAATGAATGCCAATTTATATAAACTAAGAGGAATTAAACTGGAAATTTATTTAATTTTTATTGACATTTATTTGTTTAAATAAAGTAAGCTAACTCCCAGTCCTATAGTTTTAGTTTAGTTAACTCATTCAGGTGTTACAGTTGGGAGGTGTGTGTATATGTATTTTCTTGTGTACCCTGCATGACCAGTGACGACCAAAAGCATTTATGAGCTTTGAAAAGTATTTCTTCTCGGCTTCCATCAGATATTAACCACTCGGTGTTTATCTCTCCTCTCTCCTATTTAAACACGTGCTTCCTGCTCCCACCCTTCCACTCCCAAATGTCCCAACTCCATTCAACCCCCAACTCCACCCCCATTCTTCCGTCATCAACTCCATCCAGGAATGATGACAGTTTGGAACTTTGCAATAATTCATCACCAACAGGAGGAAGCCAGAGAGTCTAGTCTACTCATTCTTTTTTTCCCTAAAAAACGGTTTTCAGGCTTTTCAAGCTTTTTGCTTGGTAACATGGTTGGCACAGGTCGTTATATTTTAGTGCCACATTTCTAACCCTGGGGTATCTTTGTAAGAGCAGAACCGTGTTGAGAAGATTTGGCAAAGTGCAGTGCCTTTGTTTGGCTCATCAGCAGCAGATGTGCAGCTGGATTAGAAAGGGACACAGAACTGCTGTTCAATGTAGTACAGATGTACTCATGTCATTGAATCAGTATGTGGCCCTAAGGGAAAAGAGGCAGACCACAAATAAATAGTACAGAAACATTCACCCAAATCATCTCAGTTAGACAGCCTTCACATTTCAGTTAGAAACTGCTGAATAGCTTCATCATCCTCACTTTTGCCTGCTGATTCTCGCAGTAAAGCGTAGCTCTGCAGTATAAAACTATTGGAGTTCCAAATATCTCATGATCCACTTGGTAAACACTGAAAGTCACAGTATGTTTATATTTGCTACACGGGTTTCTGCTTTTGAAAAAAATTGAATGAAAACTACAGAGCTGATGATCTGGAGGAATCAAACATATTTTTTTTTTGGGGGGGGGGTTACTTCACTCTGTGTTGTTGCCTTTTTTGGCACAAAGCTACATTTCTTGAAAAACAAGTGCACAAAAACAAGTGCTGATCATTGGAAAATATGAAATCACTGCCAGGCTGTGTATCATGTGAGCCGCATCTTTGTCCACATACGCATGATAACAACAGAACAGGGACCCACTCATAAAAACACTGCTCTACAGCACTACTAGAGGCAGTGTAAAACAACCCACAGTGCACCTTTAACTTCACTGGATGTTGCTGATATGAAAAAAAAGAGACTGGAATCAGATTCAAACCGCTAATTTAATAAGCGAGACTCTTCCACTTCATCAGGTTTTCCAGTAGAAAATCTGACGCCTGCACCACCGAACAACCAGAACGTAAGGAAAAAGAAACATAATGGATCCTCGGTTTTACTTACACAAAATCCTAATAAAAAATATGCATTTGCAATTTTTTTCCTCATCAGTATAGTCTTTGAAGAACTGTCACTAGTCATCTCTTATCAGAAACCGTGCATCCTGTACTGTATCTGTTCTGTGCTGCAGGGGCCAGAGTTCAGGAGAAACGGAAAAAAAATTCTACACCAAACCTAGAAATCTGTGCATGAAATGAGCTGTTATATGACAACAACTAATAAAAAAAAACATCTGTTTGATCGACATTTGATTTAAAACTTAACACATTTCATGTACTGCTTGACTCATAATTATGTACGACTGAACAAAAAGGCCCAGTATTCAATAGCTTTTCATTGACAGGGAAGCTTGCTGAAGCAGCGTACGGCTGTTAAAGTGGTTTGGAAGTCCTCATTTGCCTTAATGATTTCCTATGCCAGTTTAAAAATCACATCCATCTGCAAACACAAACAAACACACGGCCCTCTTGACCCACCCACCATCTGACTTGTTACCAGATTCCTTCCAACACGCGCACGCGTACACCCATGCATACTACACGTAGTATGTAAACTCCCTCACAGACACAACCTCATCCACACATATGCACCCCCGTAGGTCCTGAGAGACCTGCAGCTCAAATAAAGACAGCAAGTCTGCACACATAAACACACTCACTGGGCCTTTGCGCAGCACTGACATGGTTTCCACTTGCCACGTAAACCTCCTCTCCTCTCCAGCTGCTTTTCACATGCACTACACCCTCGAGCGCTCCATTTCTTTCTTTCCTACTCAATTTCTATCTGTCTTCTGGTCAGCCAGCTCTCTTTCTGAACGCACATAAATACTAAATCTTTTAAGCTCCTGAACTTCGGCATCCTAGGAGCACAGTAAGCAGCAGTTGATCCTGTTTCCTTTAGAGGTTCGCTTCTGACAGTGTGTCTCTTCACCTAACAGTGATTCATGCTGACCAGCTGAGTATCGGCAGTCAGCCCTGACAAATCCATTAAATGCTAAAAAAAAAAATGGCATGGCTTTCTTTGAATCTCGTGTAGATTGTTGCAAGGCTATGATGCAGAATCAATCACTGCTTCGATCTTGCAGGGCTCCAGAAGCGTGAGTCATAAACAAGAAATGAGATGTGGGTCTGAATTTTACTGAAAACACATGACAGATGAGATCCCCAGTTTATATAACACAATTTCCTTTCACTACACTTCTTTTCACTACCCTCCATCTAGTATCAGCTCTACCAAAAAACACAAAAAGAGAAGAAGAACATTTTTTAAAATCCCAACACAGCAAATGATGACAGAACTGTCACGAAGTCAAAGATGATAACAAAACAAAAGTGAATGATCATCTGTGAGTGTGCTGTTCCTGTTTTCTTCTCTTCCCAGGTAAACAGCGTTCCAAATCAAACCTCTAATCGCTCAAAGTTTTGTGGTGAGGGGTTACATTCTCTGTTTTAGGCAGGGGATCAGTAAACTCTTAAGGGAAACCTGCAACGTGTAATTATGGAATACATAAGCTGCAGCTACAGCAGAAATTCACCACAGACTCACTGCACTTATCTGCTGTCCTGCTTTGAAAGAGAAATATCCATCTTTAACCACTAATGTCCAGCATGGGGACTATACTGGGGGGCTTCAAGATCAAGTATGGGGAGCTTAAAACAGTATGAATAACAAACCAGCATACGTACCAGATATAAAGTGTATTATTGTGCTTTGATTAATAAGACTTGAACCCAAAAAAATGTTTAAAATAAGAACAAATACATGCATATAATAAAGTCTGCAAAACAGATCAATTTTAGATCTAACTAAATTATTCAAAATAAAAAGGACAACTACTACATGATAAAACTTTCCAGGCAACTGATATGAATATAACTGGAAGCCAATCTAATATCTTGCACAGACTGAATGCAGGCAACACGCACAGACACACACAGCTGAAATACGACAATTTTTTCCATTCCAGTATGTAGCTGGAATTCACTGTTACATAAAGCCTCAATACCGTGGAACGCATAATGAAATTAGGCTGGGGTCTTATTTCGTTTGGTGACAATTCCAGTGCAGCTTTTCCTCAGAGTGGATCACCCACAGAAAATTAACTTCCTAGGAGCTTTTATAGCCCAGCTATGCCGTACGTAACTGCGGCAGACTGCAGGAAGGGATTGCCAAAGCAACTTTACATCTGATTGCAGGACGAACGTGTAATTTGTAACGCGTGCGGGTATTCTGAGACTTCGAGCACGCAAGTGGATGCATGCACAAGAACTGGACAGCTGTTCACTAAAACTCCTCTCATGCTTTTCCTGCCACCTCCTACGCTCGTATCCCGATGCTCAGCTGAGTCACTCAGCACTCTAACACACAAAATATTAATGCAACGGCCTATTCTGGCAATGCAAATGCAGAGGCACAGACAGGTGGTCTCGCCCACATTACACTGTTTTCCTGACCATTTAATAATACCACAGGATTGTTTATGGCACCAGAGTCACACTCATGGCGGACAGTTTGGAAAAAAGAAAACAACACATAATTCACAGCAGCACAACCAGAAATGTACATGTTATTTATTTAACAGTTTCTAAACTGCCCCAAACAGTTATCTTCATAACCAGCTAATCTGCAACTTATTTTCTTGATTAATTGAGAGATTCAGATTGTTTAGTCTCCAGAGAGGCCTAAAACCAAATATAATAAATTTACTGTCACATGGGGCAATAAAAGGAAGCAAATTCTGCAATTAAAGAAGCAGAAAAAAACATTTAGCATTGCTATCGAAGCTGAAAATATTAATATCATATATTTACTGATATATTAAAATCTTTATCGTCTTACTGAGGTCATCTATCTTCTTAAGCCCCCACAAGAGATATCAATTTTTTTCCATTATCAACAAACACTGATCTCATTTTCAGTTCTGCCTAAGACTCCTTAAGACTTTGACAGGTAGAATTGCAGGAGTTGCCTTTTCTTTTAAATTTAAAGCAGTACAACTTTTTTAAAACCCATGAAAATTAACATAAGGATATTTTCTTACCCGATTTACGTTTGCCAGTGCCTCCAAAGTCTCTGCAAAAGAAACAACAGCAGAGCAACATGGTCAGAATGAGTGTGTAAGCAAGAAAGGCCAGAGCATTTATATGACTGGTTACAGCTGAATCTTTGCCCGGGACCATCCAAGTACAGTTGGCACACAAGTACCAGCCAAACCCTCGCTGAGAATGCACGAAGAACTTGACCCACTACCAGTGGGAGGGAGACAGGGTGGGATACATATGAGTGAGTCGCACAATAAGTGTGTCAAGGACAGCAACAAAGGAACCCATCGGCCCTTTTAGCCAATGTGTGTATATTTCTGTTAAAAAGCCAGATATGTTGTACATGAGGAGAATGCAGCTGCCTCTATTTAACAGAACAGCGTTTATTGACTTTACAACAGTATCATATCCCCCTTTAAGTCCCATTCATCTTAAGATGTGAAAGCATCTTTCTGTTCCGAACTATGAACTGTAGAAAAAAACACTGAAAGGAAGCGAGCTAGTGTCAATGAACCTGCTCTGTGCTTTGACACTCATGAAGGTCACAGAGCAGCGACTATCCCTTCACTGCACCCACGCTTACTGCGCTGCTCAAAACGCTGAGCTTAATCAGCAGAGATGGGATATTTATGTTTACTTTGTCAAAATACTATATGCACTTTTCCCACTCAGTGTACTGCAACTTGTGAAAACACATGCAAAGTCTACCAAAAAGAGTACCAAGCTGCAGGTAACAGCAATAGAAAATTTATGTGTTTAATTTACTCAAGTAAAGCGTTTTTTTCTCTATTTTTTTAAATGCAGTGCATGCGCTGTTGAATTCGTTAAAATGCTTTCCTGAACTGTTTGTGGTTTCTTTATTTGTACGCGTTCTCTCAAAAAAATGAGCGTTGATTTGTGACGGCCACCTCGTATTACAGCAGAACAGGTCATTAGCCTAATTTCCAATTGTCACCGTTGTTCTATTCAGCCTCTTTCACACTGACGGAAATTTGTCATTTAGAGACAGGCAATAAATAAATGATGAATAGTTTTTAATTAATTCATTATAGGTTTGTTGATTCAATTGGAGCACTCACGCTTCATTAATTGCATGCAGGCACACAAGTGATGGTACTTCACATAATTACTCCATTCAGTTTGATGGGAATTTGTTTATAAAGTGGAAATGCATAAACATTTCAGGCAAGACCATTTTAGGAAGTTCGGGCTGAGTGTTATGTCCTGGTTTAGTTAACTTGCAGAGAGAAAACACCGAGGAGAAGTTGAGTTTTGACACAGATGGAAGCAGACACCTGGCTCTATGGAGGGCCAGCAGCAGGACTGGAGCCACAGCCAGTTATGGATATGAGCACATGTTTGGATAAACCCTGTCCAACGTTTGCCAGGTTACAGTCTGTTCATCAATACTCAGTGTTTGATTGAACCAAGTTATCAAAAAAACCAATTTTCAAAGTAGATTATTTGACACTGCTGTACAAATAAGCTATTTCGCATTTGTTTTACATCTATATAATGAAATAATGTAAAATATATATATATATATATTTGTGATAAAATAATATCGGCACAATTTCTCTTTTTCCCTGATGAATGAGCAAAGTAAACACAGATAATTTATGAGACAATTATAATAATGAATTGCTTATAGATTGATTAAAAGATTAAATAATAGACTGACTAAACTGACACGGAAACAAAAAGGCCATGAACTGAATTTCGACGGCGTAAGAAAAATCATTAATCGTTCATGATGAGCAGCAATATAAATGTCATATCTTTTGATAAGATTGATGAACAGAACAAAAAACAAAGTTAAACTTTTGCGCCAAGCCACATAAACAAAGCTGTGGATTAATTAAAAATGCATAGTCCAACTAACAATGGAAAACTTTAAAACCCCAACTTTATAAGGAAAACACATCTAAGGTCAGAGGAGAATGGGCAGGCTGCTTTGAGCTCATAGGAAGACAACAGTCACTCAAGTAATCACTCGTCGCCACCAGTCTATGCATTTACAGATGCAGAAGAGCATCTGTAAATGCAAAACCTTGAAGAAGAACAGGAGCAGAAAACTGCACAGTGTGCAACTACTGTCTGCTAAGAACTCTAGACGGAGGCTACAATTCTCACAAAAATTGTACAATAGAAATGAGAAACATGTCGCCTGGTCTGATGAGTCTCAATTTCTGCTGCAACATTCAGATAGTAGGGTAAGAATTTAATGTAAATAGCATGTAAAAAGCATGTAGCAGTGATTCACACTGCTCATAGTGATGTAGGTCCATTTTCTTTGCACACTTTGGGTGCCTTAGTTGCAGTTGAGAATCCTTTAAATGCTCTATCTCAGCATGCTGACCATGTTCATCTATACAATCTACCGATCTTCTGATGGCTGCTTCAAGCAGAATAACACAAAGCTCAAATGATCCCAAACTGACTCTTGAACCTGACAATGAGTTCACTGCACTCAAACTCCAGATCTCAATCCAGCAGAACACCTTTGGGATGTGGTGGAATAGGAGGCTCACAACTTGGATGTGTAGCCAACAAATCTGCAGCAACTGTGTGATGCTATCATTTCAAGGATGGCCAAAATCTAAGGAATATTTCCATCGCCTTGTTGATCCTGTGCCACAAAGAACTGAGGCAATTCTGAAGGCAAAAAGGGCTCCAACCCAGTACTAGGGAGATGTGGAAAGTGTGTGTTATTCCATTGGTTTCAGATTTTCCTATGTGTAAAATTGTTATAGATGTTAAATATTTCTTAATTATTTTAAAGATGTTTTCATTTGTTTTTATTTTGCCAAAATCTGCTTGGGCAGAGATGAAACTGAAGTAAGGCGGGGAAGAAAAGTGGAGATAAAGGAGACTCTTGACATGCCCTGCTTGCTTGTGACCTGTAGCACAGAGGTGGAGTAATATCTCTCCCAAGAGGAGACTGAGCACACAGTCCTGGCTTTGTGTACTTTCCTCTTATCACCAGTAAAATCTAATAGGTGAGAGGAAGGCAAGGGGAACGAAAATATGTCCAAACACTATTAAAAGTTTAAGACTGTGCTTGTGTATTTAGAGGTAAATTTCAACCTCTAAATACACAAGAAGCTGAAAAATAGTCTTTTCAAGCCATAAAGCTTTAGTTTCATCATTCAGACCAGGACGCACATACAGTGCAGGACACACGCACTAGCACTGAACACATCATTAAAAATTCAAACCCATGAGAATCCATCTGAAGCTTGAGTTGGGAGTGACCATCTGTTTGCACATAACTGCAAACTCTTTGTAGGTGGGCCTATTACAAAAAAGGAATGTGTAAGATATTAGTGCTCGCATTTTTCATCCAAGCCAGAGGACTGAGGTATCTGCCTTTCTTCAGCACACAGACACTTCTGCACGACCTCGGATTAACCTCTGCAGGAGTAACCTCGAGCTCGAGTCAATGGGTCGACATCATTGAGCAGCAATCCATTACGATAGGGTTGTGATTTGCACATAATCTCTTACTACACCGTTTCTGTGCATATCCTGTAACAAAAAAAAAAAAAAAGGTGGTGAGGTTGACTCAAATCCTCACAAAGGCACACACACTGCTGCAGTCAACCTCATGCGTACTGGCCCCAATCTCCAGCAAAGCTTGGCTATGATCACACACTGATGTCAGGTTAAAAGAATGTTAGTTTGACTGTGTATCAACCACTAATTACTCTCCTTGTGGTGAAACAATGATGTCGAATTAAGACTTAAGCTGTAAAGAACAACTGCGTTTCATAACTTTTTTAAAATCCTTTGCCTTTTGTTGTATTAATCATGTTCTGTATATGCAATCCCAATGTGAGGGCTCACCCTCCAGTTAAGTACAAAAAGCAAGCTGTCACGTGTGTTTTGGCTGAGATTAAGGTTAGGGTTTGGCATGTAACAACTATAATTAAGATAAAGGAGGTTAGTCAGGACATTTTCTTCCCAAATTGCTTGTGTTTACATCCACATACATATATCAGGAAGAAAAGGGCCACCGATTTTCTACAAAAACATTATATGTTTTGAACTGATGCTGCAAAAGTGATAAGAATTTAAACAAAATTCAACTATTTCACTGAAGTGACTAAATGAAGTTAAAGTTAAGATGGAAGACTGACCTTCAAAGTCACACCTTATGGAGGCAATTTTGTTTCTTGCATCGCTGTTAGATTTTCTTTTCCTTTGCCAACAGAGCTTTTGCTCTGAATCATTGTGGATCATTAGCGTCATCTTGATTTTAATGATTTTGTAACTTCTGATACTAATTTCTCTTGGATATGATCGAAATTTGCAAATGTTCCAAAATTCTTGTACGAGTAATACTTGGATAATCTGACTGATCTGAATCATAACATCTTAATCCGAATTTGTTTAGAGCTTATGTATAATATAAGCTAAAATATAGTGTGTGTGTGTGTAACATCACTACTGCAGGCTGCTATTGTATTGCATCCCATACATTAACACTGTGATTGTGTCCTCTTGGTGACTTCTTATATTAGAATAGGACCACTTGGTTCAAAAAGAGAAATTTAAAATCAAATATCACGCTCTCTTTATTTTTTATTACCATTTGTTTTGTTAATATTTTAAATGTATGTGATTCTTTTATATAAATGAAAGAACAAATACAACAGAACAGGTGGTGTATCTCGTCTCCTTTTTGTTTTTTTCCCTCTTGATTGAATCAGGATAGTTTCCAAGCTCCTTGGTTAACAAAAAGAAAAAAGAAAAGAAAAATGAGATGGCGAGGTGTAAACTTAATTTGTCTGTATGAAAGGTAAAATGTTATTTTAAATTGACATTATGGGCATATGTGCCTGTTAACTAGATTTAATTATACTTCACAACACTCCCGTAGATGCTGGCCTCAGAGGTGGGAGTCCTGAAAACATTTCCCCTCGGAGGTTAATAAACTGGAACTTTCTGCAGTCACACTGCACATACAGCCCATGGATAGTTTTCACTAAACAACAATAATACAGAGGCTGGCGGAGAATGTATTATCTCCAGCAAAACACCTTAAAGCTAACTGATGTCAAAATGAATTAAATTGCTGTGTTTCAAACAGCAGAGACATCCACTTTCAACTCTGCATCACTGTAAAACACTGAAGTGTTCAAAGACCGATGACTAAAACTTTGAATTTTAATTTTATATTTAGCCACTGGCATTCATTCTCAAAAAGGAACTCTAACTTCAAAAGGTCTTCCGCATGTTTCTTATCACAACCTAATTTGGACTCCAGGATGTAAGATGATTTGTAAGACTACTAAAAAAAACAACAACATGTTTTTATTATACAAATTTATAACATCTGTCTCTCCAAATTTGTCTCAAAGCTTCTTTGAAAGTTCCCCTTTCTTATGAAATATACAGTGGCTCTCGGCCATTAACCGTCTGGAAATATTTTAAAAGAGGATATCATAATTTGAACGAATTGGGCGAAAGCACTGTAAGAATCCCTTTTGTTTAATTGCATTTCAACCCCTCACTGAAAAATCATTTTTAGTGATTTCCTAACAATAAGAAATATTCAGATGTCTAAGAAGTATCAACATATTAATTAATCCTTTTCGATGGCATTGTTAAAAAACCGAAGGCATAAACACAGGTGAGTTTTTTTCTCATTAAATCTGCCTTTTTTCTAACTTTCCATATAGCCAAACACAGCTTTATAGATAGATCGATAGAGCGATAGATAGAGATATGTAGTGTCTTTTAGTGTCTTACTTCACCAATATACGACACATTTAATTATCAATATAAATCTAATAACCCAATCGAAAACTGAACGCAGACTGAGGCATGCATTTATGATGGATGAGGCACCATCTTTCATTCACCCAAATGCTATAGAAACGTCTTGTAATTTTTAGCCAATCATGTGGCTCCCTCTTGTGACAAGCAAAACAGTACCTGTGTTTTTTTCCTGTGCAGTGACCACTGTTGAACGTTAGATGGCAGTAGCATCAACAGGCTTGGACATGAGCAACAGTGCATCTCTATCGAGGCTGTTTGCAGGGCATGTTTGAACCGTGTGGAAGGAAATGTCATGACAGGACCAATTTTCTAGGTTGATTGGACGCATTTTTAATTGCTTTCATGACCTCTTTCATCTGTTTCATTGTGTTTCAGTGAGTGTGAGTGAAGCTCTATTAAATCTACAGGCAAGGTTTTTCGTTTCACAAATAAACACTTCTAAAACCATTATTTGTAATTAAATAAATTAGCCGAACAGGACAGCAGAATGGTTCTTTTACATTTTTAACATATTAAATATTTAGAAAAACTATTTGTTTCACAGCTGGGTGTTAAATATCATAATTTTAGAGCATAAAAAGAACATGTTTTCTGTGAATTGCCCAGACCACCCCAGGAGTAAAAAAACAACTTGGGCAGCGGGTGTTATACTTTAAGATATCAATTTAAGCTACGCTGGACTGTCTCTGAGATTAAGGGAGCCTCTCACTTTGAAGTGAGATTAACATGCAGGGGTATTAGAGGTTAGAGGTGATGGGCCCACATTGCTGATAAAAATATAATATCCCAGACATATGACTGAACATAAATCTAACGGAAAGAACAAAATGTAGACAATGAGTGATATTGCAGCCAGGCCGGATTTACTCCCACTCTGACTTTGAACTGAGTATGATAAATGGCTCGCCTGAGAGCCTTATCTGCCCTGAGACTTGAACTCCGACGTGCTGTCGTTACACTGCTGATCCTTCCCCATTTGTTCTGGCATCAGGTGTCACCTCCAAGAAATCATTATTAATAAAAAGCAGGGCTTCTTGGAGCCAGATCAATCAATCATCCCTGACAAAGCAAAGCCTCTGGATCAGGATGGGTCAACACGAATTAAAGGCAGCTGCTGAGCCACACACATTCAGTTTGCTTCCATATCCAATGTTCACATCCCACCAGAGGGCAATGTTTGGCGTCTAACAGTTCATGCATACAATGCCAATGCTCAATAACAGCTTGTGATTTCTAGCACATAGTTATAGTTACTCACTCTGTGGGAGGGTTGAGGTCTTCTGACTTAGTCTCAAAGAACTGAAGGACCTCCTCACTTTGGGAAATGTGGGTGGGAAGTTTCATCAGAGCCTAGGAGAGAGAAGGGTGGGAGAAAGCTACTGATTCCAATAAAAACAATAAAAGGTCACACTAATGTGTGTCAGTTTGGACTGAGTAACTGGTTTATAACACTTAGTCACTACCCAGTCACATGAGAAAACCAGGCAGAGATGTGGAGGGTGTGCAGGGGAAGGAAGAAGGCTCTGAGCAGAGAGAGAGGGTTAAAACAAAGAGAAAAACACAGACCTCAGTTTGATTGAAATTAAAAAGACACCCTCATGTAATCTGTATTTTCAAGAAAGCTTTGTGCTTTCATTCATTCATTTCAGGTCCAATAAATGAGAAACTGCTGCCACACTTGGCAACACACCTGCCCCACATTCCCATCTGTGGGCTAATAAGCATAAGAGGATCAGGTAGCTATCTGCACTCATTGCAACAATTAAAGTCTGCTGATTCATTCTTAGTCTCTCTTTTGTTTTTACCCCTGCGTGCCCCCATTTCCCTCGTTTCCTTCATATGCTGCCTATTTACATTGGTGACAGGAAATGACAAGCACAGAGAGCAGTTGCTTTCCTGTTGAGGCTGGTGGAAGGGAGATAAATGTTGAGGCCTTGAAAAAAACTGTGGTAAATGTTCAGAGGGTAGAGCACTGACAGAGATAAAGCACTCTTCCAAACAACATATAAATTAAAAATGAGTAGTCTCTTCAATAAGAGATGCATTGTGCTGCACACAGGTTGAGAAAAATCCAGCTCTGGAAACAGTGAGGCATGCAGCTTTTGTCTTACTTTGCAGTAATTATCCAGGTGCTTCAGCCTTCTGACGGCTACATCTCTTATGTGACTGCGGCGAAATAAGACTTTACCTGAGGAAAAGCAGAGCACTGTCAGGTGTATATAACAAAAAACACAAAAATATTATGATTAAATGCTTAACAATCGTGCTATAATTTAGGCTTAGACATTTATAAAATCCCAGCATGATCCCTTTCCAGCTCAGCTGGTACTGACACTGAGATATAAAATTCCAACCAACATATGGAGAACTTCTCTGGAGCTGATTGCTCTAAACTAGTGGGACTAATGTGAGGCAATTGAATCCACTTTTTCGCTTTTTCCCATTTCCTAATTTCTAACTCTTATGAGACTGAGATTGCTAAGAGCATGAAGCCTACTAAATAGAAAAATAATGCAAACCATTTGGGGGTTTAAAGGAATACAGTTCACACCATGGTGGGCTTACAGCTTGTCTAACAAAGGATCTCTTCACTGCTCTCCTCTGCTCTGGCCCACAATGAGTTTATCAGATTAGACAAATCCCTTTCTGCTAGCCTCCTACTGAGATGGCCGACCACAAAATGATTTGGCCCGGATGGAGAATGGAAGCCAATAAAACAAAGCAATGTGGTAGGCGATGCTATGGAGTGTGTAGGAGGAACAACAAAATGTCTAATAAGACAACACTGACAGTGCCGAGTGTGTGCACACTGAGTTTAATCACCTGGCAAAAAAGGAATTATTCTCTTTTTGGGGTCTTTTTGTCCTCCATCAATTGGAAATTTGTCAAGGATTCGCATCTGCAAAAAAGAAAAAAAATTAAGAAATAAAAATGAAAATGTAACACGAACATTAATTGTGGAGCAAAACTTTTTTAAAAATCCCCCTTTCTAATACAATAAAGACATGAAAGGCAAGCAATTATAATCATGTAAATGCTTGATGGCAAAAAAAAAAAATCAAACAAACTGTCAATTATCTATCGCGAGTTTAAAGTGGAGTAATCTGTGATGAGATACAGGAAAAGGGGGTCTGAAAATTCTCCAGCAACAACTGACCATTTTGTAACAGTACATGAGTTCAACACAGAGTATAATTATATATCATCTGAAAAACCATTTAAAGTGCAAACCATTTCACTTTGATAGCTGGGGCAGCAGGCAAGGTTACATCACCCTCTTATCTAAGAAAAGCGCTATATAAATACAGGCCATTTACCATTTACCATTTATTTGAAAAAACCCTCACAAGGAAGCCACTTAAGCAGCTTAAAAAGCCATCAGGGTGCATAACAGGCACTTTGATGTTGACACTTGATACATACAGTATGTCTATTTACAGCATCAATCTCTCAAGAGATTAAGCAGGGAGCGAAACAGAGCTAAACAATGAAAAACAACTGTTTTACAGTGAAGATTTCCTTCTGAGGGTAGCTGTCCCTAACAGTTTCAACATGATTCTCCTTGGATACGCATATTTTGTATTTGGTGAAGTTTTGATGAGTGCTAAAAAAAACAAAACATGCATTGCATGTGTGTTACATACTACAAACAAGAGTAGGTATGTATTTTGCTACAGAAGGACATGGTTTTTGTTATTTTGCCTGTTTACACTACCACAGTGAATTCTAAATTAACCAGTAAGTATGTGATTGAAGTGTAGGCATTTGGCTTTAATTCAAAGGGTTTCAATAAGAAGTTTACATTAAATATTTAAAGAACTGCAACGCTTTTTAAACCCAGTCCCAAATCTCCAGAGGCACAAAAAGGATTGTTTTTAAAACCTGGATGAAAATCTCCTGCCTGAAGTCTACCCCAATCTACCCCAGTAAATGTGGGTTCTTCTTCATACTCTGCCAGGCTTTTTCTCCAGCCACCTGGAGTTCCTGTTTGTGGATATTTCCCTTTGGTTTTGCATTTACTGAAAAACATGTTCATCTGGGTTGAGATCGTATTACTTGCTGAATCTGGCCACTTTTGGGCTGCTTTTGCTTTTGCACCATATGGCTGAAACTGAGCACAGAGTATATCCCTGTACACTTCAGAATTCACCCTGCTGCTTCTATTGGCAGTCACATCATCAGTGAACGTAGTGGGAACCATATATGGCAATGTCTTATTTCTCCACCATTTTTGACAGATGATATCGTATGCTTCACATCATGAGCTGTTTCTTTCCTTCTCCATACTTTTGTCTTGCCATCATTTACTTTGGTACAAGTTAACCTTGGTTTCATGGGTCTAAAGCAGTGCAGGCTCTTTTATGTTTATTTTCTGGCAACGTCTAATCTGGCTCTCTTGTTCTTGAGCGTAACCAGTTGTTTACACCTTATTGTAAACATTCATGAAGGCGTCTCTTGATTGCAGACTTTGCAGACAATGATACACCTACCATCTTGATTTCTTGACTTGGTTACATGTTCTAAAGTTGTTTTTCTAAACCATGGAAATAATTCTGTCAACATGCACTTTAGCTGTCCTCTATGGTCTTTCAGGCCTTTTGGTGCTGCTGAGTTGGCAGCTTTATTCATTCTTTAAATAATGCACCAGACTGTTGACTTGGCCACTCAAAGTTTTTGCCATCTTTCTGAAAGGTTTATTTTTGTTTTTCGGCCAAACGATGGGCTCCTTCACTTGCACCGACCTCATATTTTAAATTACAGTGGAAAGCCATAAATACAAAGCCCATAAATTCCTTTGCCTCCAAATAACAATGGAACAGGCCTCACTTGGCCAGGAAACTACTGGTCAGTCAACTGTCCAATTGCGTTTGAGCCTCTGGGTATAAAATGGGTGTACTAACCTTAACAGTTCTAAACAGTTAATGCAAAATGCATGTAAAAACCCTTGAATAAAAGAAAGCTGACTGTCTGAACTTTCATCGCATGCTGACTGCCTGATTTAAAAAATCCATTGTGATGTGGTACTTTCAAAAGGAAAATATATCTTTGTCAAACAAATGATAGACCTTAACTGTAGTATCGTCTTTGTATTCACACGAGAGCATCTTACAGTAACAGGTTTAAGATGTAGATGTAACCACGCCTTAATTTTTCCTCCCTTGCCTTGTTCCAGATGTGCTTTACCAGCAAATTCTGTGAGTATCAAGCTGAAGCACACTCAACTGGGAGGAGAAGGAAAGGTCTCAGTTTAAACTGAGCCAAAAAGAAACCAGGTGGACAAACAGAATCAGGCTTGGAGGTTAAAGTTGGATCCAGTCTGTCTGGATCTGTGGGAGTTGTTTGTAGGACTTGTGCAGCAAGAGGTGGTTTGGTTTGATGTTGTGGTTCTTTCGTTTCCACTTTAATCTGCTGGCTTTGCTGAATCTAAAATTTTCTCCCAGGGCATAGCATGTTCCCCCCTCTCCCCCAAACTACAGACTGCTAACAAGAAATGTTTTCCTTTGAAATGGACAGTCATCATTATTGTGTTTTAAGGGCAAAGCAAAGTGCACAGTATAAAGAATCGTCCTGGTTAACCACACCTGCACATAGCCATGGTAAAATTCCTAATCTTACGGTGATTACAGTCTAATGCCGAGAAGGCACGACATCAAATATGTATGTAAACCAGACTGTGTAGTTTAGGATGCTATGGCAATAACATAACTTTACAGGCTAGGCTGTAATTCCTCCAAATCCCAGTAGTTATAACAACCATATTGTTTATTTGATACACAAAGCTACACGCTCATCATGTTATCAGGCTTACAGCTGGATGTAGCTGTGTACTCCCTCTAATACAGGAGTGTTCACTCAACACTTGTAAGAAACTGCCTCAGCTTTTCATTTGGGAGTGAGGATGACATCACTACTGGAGATCTACGTGGCTACACTCACAGCTCCATGGGACAGTTTGGAACAAAAATCTGATTGAAAACACTCCTCATATTTTGTTTACCTTTAATTCAGAGGCTTTGGGGAGCAGAGATGGTGTACTTAATCTACACTCAACAAAAATATAAACGCAACACCTTTGTTACTGCTCCCATTCCCCATGGGATGGACGTAGAGACCTAAAATTCATTCCAGATACACAATATAACCATCCCTCCCAAACAGTGGCCACAAATCAGTCCAAATGTGTGGTAGTGGGCACATCTGCTATATTGAGATAATCCATCCCACCTCACAGGTGTGCCACATCAGGATGCTGATCTGACATCATGAGTAGTGCACAGGTGTACCTCAGACTGCCCACAACAAAAGGCCACCCTGGAATGTGCAGTTTTTTGCGCTATTGGGGGTCTGGGGACCCAGAACCGGTCAGTATCTGGTGTGACCACCATTTGCCTCATGCAGTGCAACACATCGTCGCATGGAGTCTATCAGATTGTCAATTGTGGCCTGTGGAATGTTGGTCCACTCCACTTCAATGGCTGTGCGAGGTTGTTGGATATTCGTGGGAACTGGTACACGCTGTCGTATACGCCGGTCAAGCACATCCCGAACATGCTCAATGGGTGACATGTCCGGTGAGTATGCTGGCCATGCAAGAACTGGGACATTCTCAGCTGCCATCTGCCCTGAACAATGTGAACCTTGATTCATCCGTGAAGCGCACACCTCCCCAACGTGCCAGATGCCATCGAATGTGAGCATTTGCCCACACAAGTCTGTTACGGCGACGAGCTGGAGTCAGGTCAAGACCTCGATGAGGACGACGGGCATGCAGTTGAGCGTCCCTGAGACGGTTTCTGACAGTTTGTGCAGAAATTGTTTGGTTGTGCAAACCAATTGTTCCAGCAGCTGTCTGGGTGGCTGGTCTCAGACGATCTTGGAGGTGAACCTGCTGGATGTGGAGGTCCTGGGCTGGTGTGGTTACACGAGGTCTGCGGTTGTGAGGCCGGTTGGATGTGCTGCCATATTCTCTGAAACGCCTGTGGAGACGGCTTATGGTTGAGAAATGAACATTCAATGCACGGGCGACAGATCTGGTTGACATTCCTGCTGTCAGCATGCCAATTGCACGCTCCCTCATTGCTTGTGGCATCTGTGGCATTTTGCTGTGAGACAAAACTGCACATTCCAGGGTGGCCTTTTGTTGTGGGCAGTCTGAGGTACACCTGTGCAGTAATCATGATGTCAGATCAGCATCCTGATGTGGCACACCTGTAAGGTGGGATGGATTATCTCAATATAGCAGATGTGCCCACTACCACACATTTGGACTGATTTGTGACCACTGTTTGGGAGGGATGGTTATATTGTGTATCTGGAATGAATTTTAGGTCTCTACGTCCATCCCATGGGGAATGGGAGCAGTAACAAAGGTGTTGCGTTTATATTTTTGTTGAGTGTATATTTCTATCCCACGCTCTGCCCAGGAAACTGCAGTGTATTTAAGTTGTAGCGTTAACACTGGGGAATGTCTATCAGGCAACAGGTGCTATGATGTAATGACATGTCCTGTCTCTTTCCACACTGTTTGGTAATCAGTGTTGTGAATAAATACCAGAGGAAGGAACTGCAATAAAAAGTCAATCATCAAACATATCTTTATTTTGTCACAATGATGTGAATTATGGTGACTGGAAAAAAACAGAAATAGCTTCTGTAAACTGTAATGATAATCTCTTGAGCCATTTAAAAATAACTGAGCTCACAGGAGAAAGGAAGAAGAAACCGACACAGACACTGAGCTGTAACAGAAGACAAAGAAACTGTTCTGAGATAGGAATTTCTGAGTGGGAAAACAATCAGATTTCATTGCTGGGGTGTGTTTTGACATCTTCTTTGCAGTTGTCTACTGCAGCGAGATCGTGGTGCAACACCCTTTTGGATAGAGTAATAATAACAATTTACTACAGTCATATTAAATATTTCAAAGAAATCTAGAAATTCCTATGAAACACCCCATGATTAAGCAGCAATGACTTAAAGAAATCATTTTCTATGTGACAGTCTCTCACAAGATTCTGGAGGAATGGCCCGCACTTCTTTACAACGTTGCTTCAGTTCATGCATAGTTCTCTTAAGGTCCTGCCACAACATTTTAAGGTTGAGGTCTGGACTTTTTCTGAACCACTGCAACACCTTGATTCTTTTCTTTTCCAACCATTCTCTTGCTGCTTGGCATCATTGTGCTATTGTGGGACCCAGTTTCAATAAAGCTTTGGCTATTGGACAGATCGTCTCACATTGTGGCTTCAAAACAAGCCCAAATAATCACCCTTCCCCCACCATGCTTGACAGTCATTTAAGGTGCTGATATGCTTTGTTTTGTTATCACGATCTCGTTCAACAAGACTTACTGTTTGTTTGGATGCACATTTCCAAGACAAAACCAAAGCGCTCACATTCTTTAAAGCAAAAGAGTCTTTCTCCTGACAGTTCTTTGGAACAAGCCAAACTTGTTCATATGCATTCCTGTTTTAACTGCACTGTTGTAAACTTTAACATTTAAAATGCACTTGATGCCTATAGAGTCTCAGATGTAGCTCTTGGGTTTGCAGTTTCTCTGAGCATTGCACCGGCTGATCATGGGGTAAACTTGCTGCAACATCGAGTCCTGCTCCAGAAAAAGCAACATGAAATGACTACAAGCTTGCAGATGAAAAATCGGATGGTGTGGAACAAGATTTTTATAGTTTAACCAAAACTATACTACAAAACTAAAAATACATGTAAAAAAAAACATTTCAGTTAACTCAAAATAAAAACGAGACTTTTTTTTTTTAAACTTAACTGAAACAATTTTTTGTGAACTTTGGAAAATAACTAAAGTAAATAAAATTTGCCTGATGAGGTTTTGAAAGACATGCTTATTCAGACTCTGGATTTCTACAATACTATGACACACTATCAGTTAACTGCTTAAAAAAAGTTATGTGTTTTTATTGTAATACCCTTACTAATTTCCTAAAAGAAACTAAACATTCTCAAACAATAAAAAAT